AGAGTAGGAAGGAAACATAGAAATCATCTGGTTAACTAGATTGAGGTCCTTGGGCAGAAACTATTTCTTTTATCTATGTACCCATCCCCACCTGGCACATAAGTACTCACATAAGTACTTAATTTAACTAGGTGTGAATATCCCCCCCACATACGAGGGTACTTCATGGAGGGCTGGTTAGTTAGCTCACTTGGAGAGCATGGTGCTGGTAACACTAAGGTCACAAGTTCGGATCCCATACTGGCCAGCCACTCCCCCTCCCCCTGTAGGGGATGCATAAAGCAAATGCACTTCACAGGGCCTGGTTTTCCAAAGCCCTGCAGTTTCAAATATTGACCTTACAAAAAACAGGAAATTTTCCCCAGGCTACACAGTCTCTGTCGTAAGATAAAGAACTGTAACACAGCAAGGTTGCTGGCTCAAAGACAGACAGGTTACCGACTGATATGTAAACATACTGGGAAATTACTGTAAGACGAGAATGTATGCTAAAATCAAGCTTTTGTTAGTGGATTGACTTAATTGCATGTTACCAGCTTCTATCGTTAAACTTGTTAAACTGTACTTAGCAAAAACCCCCACCTATGTTCCCTTCCTGTAACTTCCTGGTCTGGAGAATAAATGTGGGAAGAGAACCCCAATTTGTGGTTAATTTCCCAGATGGAAGAAATGCCTCTATCTTTTCGGGGGCTTCTCACTGCTCAGAAGAGATGGGCTTTGAGTAATCTTTGGCAGCTCTGTCACCCAGGGGGAAAGTAATGACAAATCCATGGGAGGCAAAGCAATATCCCCCCAATAAAAAGAGTTCATGGAAAGATTCATATTATCTTTCAATTCCATTTTTCCAGGAACTTTTTGAAGTGCCCAAGTACACACAAACAACAGTCTGCTGATAGACTTTCACTTTTCATTAGTCTTTACCTAAATGAAACACTCATCCAGGTAAGTTTTAAAATTATACAAAGCCAAGTTAATGACTTAGCAATCTTCACTATCTACCTATTGACTATTAAGTGACAGAGTCTGAACAAAGAGAAATGAGGTTCCTTATTTTGACTAAAGACATGAAAGAGAACAGAAACAAAACTTAAACACTGTAAATTAAAGCCACAAAGCCTGAATAAGACAATCAATCAAATCTGAGTTGTACTGGCTATTTTAAAGTATTTTTAAATCACATTTTTACTATTACCACTTGCTCCTACACTTTTCCTCTCCTAGCGATTCAGGAATATAGAAAGAAATTAAGACAACTAACATACTTTTTAGTTTCACCCTGCTCCTTCCTTTTACCACATGGCCCTGCAGGCTGAGTGTGAAAAGTAACTGAGCATCAATCCCACTTCTGCTGACAGAAGCTGCCCACACAGAAGCAGAAAACACTGCTTCTTTCCCTTAAGTACAATCATGAGTTCTAAAAGAGAAAGGAAGGTAGGTACAATCAAAGATAAAGGCTTCTGATAACACGAAGTTCAGAGTTCAATCCCTGTACCGGCGAGCTGCACAAAAAATAAAAATAAAGGCTAAAAAACTTTTTAAAAGTTTCATGACAATAATCAAATTCAAGACAAATTTGACAACTAAAGAAAAGTACCAAATTTCTTTAATCTGGTGATAAAGAAATCAAACCAAAATAAATAAGTAAAACCAATAAAATTTCTACTTATTGAATTTAAGTATTAATTTTAAAAAAATCTTTAAAAAGTATTGCCTACCTCATCCTTCATATGCCACCTGAGCTTATCCACCCAAAAGAAGAAAATTCATAACCCATTAGCAGAATAGAGTATCTTTACAACTTGGCCCTACCTCCACTACGCTACCCATCCCTCTGAAAACTCAAGGCACTGGCCCCACTGAACCACCAATGGGCACTGATACTCATGACTTTGCTTAGGCTGTTCCCTAGGCCTGGAATTCTCACCTGGAAATCCATCTCAAACTTCAGGCTTAAATGTTTAAGTTCTTTGAGTACCAGGACCTTGTTGGTCTTACCACTACAGGTCTTGCATCTAAAGCACTGCTGGCACACAGTAAAGCAATCCATAAATTAGTGTTGTGAGAATAAAGAGGTTCGACACAAATATTTTATCCTCTGTGTTTTCTCAATAGCTCTTCCCCCTTCCATAGTCTCACAGCTTGTTACTGAGGTTATTATATGTGTATTTCATTTAACCTACATAATTACAGCTATCCAAGAAACTGTTATCTGGTCCCAAACTCGTTCCTAAAATAATATAAAACATTACTGAGGTTATTATATGTGTATTTCATTTAACCTACATAATTACAGCTATCCAAGAAACTTTTATCTGGTCCCAAACTCGTTCCTAAAATAATATAAAACTCTGAAATCAGTATGCTTCAAAAGAACACATATTAACAGTACAACATTTTTCATCTCTTACAGGTTTTCTCAAGTATTGTCAATTCAGTAAACATGAATATACATAATTTTCATATCCCTAGTTATGTGCAGGAAAATGAAAAAGGTCTAAGATGATTAACCAAAGTTACCAAACATAAGGTTTGGGTCTCTAATATATACCAGATCCAAGCTTTAAAGAAAAGGGAAAAAAAAAAATTCAAATTACTTACATATCAAGTCTATCCATGTACAAGTCACAACAAAGATTGGGGATCCCACTAAAACAACTGAATAACAAGTAAATACCGAAGCTGACAGAAGTTACTAGTCATATATTAATGAGATTGAAAGTACCAGTGTCACTATAAATATTAGGAACAAGAAACCTTTGAAGGACATACACTTTGCACTCAATTCTAACAGAATTGCACTAAATTAGGAACTAAACTGAATTTATCTTTAATATCTGGGTCTTGAATTAATCATGAAAACTATAAAACAAAAAGTATTATGAAGTTACTCTCTTATTATTGGATGTAATCTGGCCAGCCATAGATGATAGATAGACAGACAGACAGAAAGACGGATAGATAGAACGAAATGTAAAGTTATATAAACTGAATTAGTGAGTAATGTAACGACTACACCATGAACTCAATATGAAGCTAACAATAGGGAAAGTTTCCACCTACAAAATCCAGTCCATCTCATTTTCCACAAAATGTGCCAGGAAATAGAAACTTACCATTAAGAAATCTAACTTAGCTGGTCCTTTAGGTATAATTACCTTGAAGTTTCTCCCTGCCTTTCAGATTGTATATACCTATTTTGAAGTTTACATCTTAATATGTTAACACTATGAAAAAGATGTGGTTTCAAGTTTTAAGATTACAGTGGCACAAAAAAGCATTGTAAAGCAACCTGATTTAAAAATGTCTAAGAAATATTTTTACTTTTCATTTAATGGAATTGCATAAAATTTCACTAAGGTTCTTTTTAAAGTAGCATATACAGGTCATTACAATCAATTTCATCTTGGTTTCCGGAATTCGAATTTAACTCATAATTTTGTATTTATTGGGCAACTACTGTGCACAAAGCACTCATCTAGGCACTGTATTGGGCATATTACTTAGTCAAAATATTTATATTTCCTACTAAAAGAATGGTTAGCGTTGTGACTTCTCAAGACTTCAGGTAATAACTATCAATTGCAGACCTCTAAAAATGCTTGTTAAATCAAAAGGCAATGCCCTGACTACTGAAGGAATCCAAATTGCCAGGGTCAGCAAAACTTCATTAGAAAGTTAATAGCCTCCATCCTTAAAATATCCCAAGAGAAGAAAGGGAGTGATTCAAGCTGTTAGCATGTGCCCAACGATGCTACAACAATAATAACCTAAGCAAAACTGCCAGATGTATTTGTAGTTAAGAGGTCCAACCTTGACAAAGCATCATCAGTGGGATTTTCATCCTTCTGGGTGGAAGGGTTCAGAAAGCAAAAGCGCAGTCAAAAAAAAGAAAGAAAAACAGTGGGATTTTCATCCTTCTGGGTGGAAGGGTTCAGAAAGCAAAAGCGCAGTCAAAAAAAAAGAAAGAAAAAAAGAAAGAAAGAAAAAAGTGCATCCACAAGCATAAACTAACTGTTCAACCGGTAAAGGATCTGGGAGGACCAGTACAGACGCTCTTTCCTTCAACCTGAAAGCATCTACTTTGTGACGGGGGCAAGATGATTTAAAAGTGAGAATGAATGACGTGAAGTTCCGATAGGGGATGCTGCATAAATAGCACAATACACTAAAATGGATGTTGTAAGAAATAAATTACTAAGTGCCAGGGGAAAAGACGACTCTCTGCAAAGAGAAAGGGAAGGCGATAGTCCTTATTCCGAGGCTCGTCAGTTTACATCCTCGCCGGGTTTTTTTAAAAAGTTGACAAACTCCCTAGAAGAGGTCCATTTTGGAGACTGACACATCTCTCCCATTGACCAGAGGCGCCTGCGGACCGAAGAAACGCCGAGAGTTAGGCGGCGCCCAAGCCTTAGCAAGCCTTTTCTCCTTCCAGGGCCACGGCAGCCCCGGCACAGGGGCGGCCGCGGGAGCTCTTCGCAGCAGGGGCAGATGTCGGCGCCGGAACCCGGATCGCAAAGCTGGTGGAGCTGCCGCCACCGCTTCCCTGGAGTGCTGGGAGCCGGAAAGTTGCGTGAAGACAACTCCAGAGCCTTGAAGCCTCTTCCCCGCGACGCTCGGGGGCTGCGGCACCTCCAGCCTCCCCCTCAACCGCAGCAGAAAAGGATCCACTTCGACCCAGCCCCAGCGGCCTGGGGAAGAGGGTGGCGGTCGCCCTCCAACTCGGCTGGGCCAGGACGCGAGGGTCACCAGCGGCGGCGAGCAAACGGGTCGGAGGTGTTCGACCCCCTCGCGTCCCTCCTTCACCCGGGCCGCGCCTCCTGCCAAGTCTGGGCGCAAGCCCCCGGCGCCCACCAGCCGGGCGTGTCACGACCCCAGCGCCCGGACGCCTCACCCGCGGCCCGCATCCCTCCGACTTGTCCCGACCCCTCTCTGGAACGCAGCCCGCGCCCCGCAGCTAGACCAGCAGCCAGGCCGCATCCCCGCGCCCCTTCCCACCTCACCTGCGCTCCGCGGCGGCTCCGTACCTCCTCGTCCACTCCGTGCGCCCCGTCGGGACACGCACCGACCCCCTAGCCGGGACTCTGCCTGCCGCGGTGACTCGGGACACGAAGGTCACCACCGCCTTCTCCTTCTTGGCACAAGTCTCGGCGGCGATCAGAGAGTCGCGGTCAGAGACCCACCGGGGCCAAAGTGAACCTCGCCGCCTCCGCAGCCTCCACCACCAAGTCCCTTCACTCGTCCGCGCCGCCCCAAGAAAATGTCACCAGAGGCCGTTCCGCTCGGCGCCTCACTTCCGCCCGGAACCACAGAGTCCACGCCGGCCAGCTAGAGCGGCCGCTGCGGCGGAAGCCTCTGGGGACTGGAGCCGAAGGCCGGGGGAAGCTAGACAGCGACATCTGGCGGGAGGGAACGCGCGCTCCTCCCGCTGCAGATCGCGGGGCGAGCTAGCGCCGGCTTCCCGGGCTTCTTCCCCGCACTCCCTCCTTATGTTCAGACAGCTCCCTTTCAGAAATGTCTTTCCCGGAGGGTGGGAAAGCCAGTCGATGCAAACCAAGGACAGTGCCCTAGAAAAGGACGGCGCTCTCTTTTTCGTACGCTGCTCATACTCACCCCCTCCCGAAGCCTTCCGGAATGAAGCTCGCGGTGTCTGAATCCTTGAGTCACTCCAACAGGGAGCCCGCTACCCTCTCTCCCCACTTTTTCGCAGATGCCAACAGCTCGGCTCGGGGAGACTCGACGGTGCTCTTCTCTTGCAGTGGCACCAACATCCTGTTCAAGTTTCTGGACGGGAACCTTGCAAATAGACCGCCATCTGCTGGTGAGACTGAGCCCGCCAGGGAGTCCCCCCGCCCCGCCCCTACGAGCGTTTCAGACTCCCGGTTTCCCCCTCCACCGTCGCTCCGATTTGCAGCTCGCCCTGGGAAGGGTGTTGCAGCGGCACTCTGAATTTTCGAGGCCCCTCCGTGAGATCAGGGGGTGGGGGAAACGCGGTGCATGCGGGACTCGGAGAAAGGTGAGGTGGGGGAAAGCCACCTGGCGGGAGGAGGGCTTCCGAAGGAGGAAGAGGATGCTGCGGACAAACCTCACAGCTCAAGATCTGGCCAAGATCCCGCGCTCCCTAAAGGCAGTGCAGGGTTTTGAGAAAGTGGCGGGGGGGGGGGGGGGGG